CCACTTCCAGTCCAAATTCTGAATGAATGCTCTGAGGAATGAGGGATTTTACCCTCAAGCTCATTAATAATTAGCTCTCGATAAAAGGTAATGCTTTAATGAGGAACTAACATTTATTGAATCCTTATTATATGTCAGATTCTCTGCATCCGGTTTTTAACAAGAAATCCTCTTAACAGACATGTGAGACAGGTACTGTTATCTCCATTCCACAAATGAGGAAGCTGAGGCTCAGAGAGGATGAGAAACTGTCTAAAGTTGTGCAGGTAGCAAGTGATTTGTTGCATCTTGCCAGTGAACTATATCATCTCTGAAAACATCTATCACCATTGCTCCTTACAGCCTCACGTATTTGTTTCCTAGGGCTACTGTAACAATTTACTGCAAACTGGGTGGCTAGAACAATAGAAATTTATTCTCTCGGTTCTGGAGGTTTGAAGCCTGAAATCAACATGTCGGCAGGGATGGTTCTTTCTGAGAGTGAATCTGTTCCATGCCTCTCTCCTAGCCTGTGATGACCTGCTGGCGATCCTTGGCTTTCCTTGGCTTGTTGGTGCATTGCTTCAATTTCTGCCTCCATCTTCACATGGCTTTCCTATGGTTGTCTTCTTGTAATGACACCAGTCATATTGAATTGGCTCCCCACAACACACACACACTACAGTGTGACCTCATTTTTTAACTTTAATTATGTCTTCAATGACCCTATTTCCTAATTAGGTCACATTCTGAGGCACTGAGGGCTAGGACTTCATCATATCTTTTTGAGAGCTACAATTCAACACATAACATCTTATTAAGTGGAATAAGAAAATTACTTCCTATTGATTTGGAGGATTTTGCACAAAAAGTTGACTTTATCTCTTGTTAGAGAAATATTTCAGTAATTGTCAGGATTCCTAGAATTCCCATGAGTAATTCTTATGAATTACCTTCTCCCCATCTCCTGGGCAATATCTACACAGACGTTGCCTCCTCATAAAAATACGATTCCATCCACCTTTCCCTCCAAAAGCTACTTTTCTCCTGACTTTCTGGTTTTTCACAAAACTAGCTAAAGTCTCAAAGTCTCCCCATCTTCCAGAAAGAATCCTTTTTTTACATTCTCCTTACACCTCCCAATTCAGTTCCTTATGGTTGCCTGTCCCTTGAGAAGATATACTAGCCTCCCACTTCTCTCCTTGCTCCCAGCCTCTTCACCTCCAAATCAGCTTCACACTTCTCTACAAGGTCAATTTTCTAGAAACGCGTCCAATCTGACTCCACAAAAGCCTCAGTGGCTTCCGGCTACCTGGTGGCGCTCCATCCTGCATTCAAGGTCCAACCAAGTTTAGCGCCAGCTTCACCTCCCTCCTTCCCTTCCAAATGGAATACTGATCCCACTGTAAAGGTCCCGTGCCACAGCCACCTCCTCCTACTTCGCTCTTCCCTGCACTCCCGCCTGCACACCGTTTCCTTGCTGAGTTCCTGAAACACCTCGCATCTCTCCCAGTTATTCTTTTCTACCTGGTATTATTTGTGTAAACGTCTAAGCTCCCCCACCAGCCTCCGCTCTCTGCTCCCCAGGAAGGGCTCCAATGGAGCTCATCGATCTAAATATGCCTAGAACAAACTCAGGGAGTCTCCCCGAAGGAGGAGGGACCTTGCCAAGTACAGGCTAAGACTTGCCTAGCCGTTTTCTTCCCAGAGATTCGGCTCAGCTGCTGTCAGGGGCCGGTAGGGGCGAGAACATTCCCTAGATGCCGTGGAACGAGTCTGCGGACCCCCCAGGGAGACGGGATCCCAGCGCAGAGCCTCTCTGCAGGTACCCGGAGGCCCGCATCTCAGTCGCTGCCCGCCCACTGCTCAGGGGCACTCACCTCCCGCGGGACTCCGGAACGCCGCCTCCGCCAGAGTCTCTTCGCGGACAGGCCGGGCACTTTTGGACGAAGCACGCAGGAAGCGGAAGTCAGGGGAGGAAGTTTGGACTGTGGGAACGTACTAATTTTACTTGGAAGATGAACGTCCTTAGTGTCCTCATGGCAGGAGGTAGAGTGCCTGGAATGTCGCGCTAATTTCCTGTTTGCCCTTAGCCTCTGGTCCTGGAGTATATTCTCTTTCAGGTCCCATGTCCAAGTCTCCTTCTTGGAGTCCCAGCTGAGCTGACCGGGCGGTTCCGGTCCCCGAACCTCGGAGCGACTATGCTTTCCTGGACTAGCGGGGGTCCGTGAGCTACTCCTTCCCGCAGTACGCGGCGGGCCGAAGGTTCAGATTCTAAAAGCCGCTTCTTACCTCTGGCTGCATTATTTTCCTGTGGCTGCAGCCGTGGGAGTGATTTTCCTTTGGTTTTATAGAATTGTTCCTTATATGGTTTTTCTTATGCTTGCAGAAACGTAGTCTTGGTAGAAATCTTGAAAAGTGTGCAGAAGAAAATAAAAACCGTAGTCTTGGTAGAAATCTTGAAAAGTGTGCAGAAGAAAATAAAAACCGTTCTTAAACATACCACTCAGCTAAAGCATTTGTTATGAACTTAAGAAATTTAATTTTATTTGGTTCTACCAGAAGAGAAACTAGTGAAAATAAATGTCAGAAACATTAGAGTTGAAATCATTGTTTTAAATTCATGCTTCTTGATGAGCTTAAGATTTCTAGATAGTAAAACTTAAGACTTATCCACAAAAATCAGAAGACATCTCTTGTGAGTAAAAACAACAGAAAGCCCTAGTACTTACTTATATATATGATTTTAAAATTAAAATTGATGATTCTCCAGGAGAAAATTTGGTTCACTAGTTGTTAAATTATGGGAAAGTCTATGTCATTTTGCAAAGGTTCTGACCAAGTTGCAACTAACACTAAGGAAGTAGGACATCCCAACTTATATTTTGTTAAATTTTCTTTTTAGGGAGGTGGAGATGTTTTCTAATTCCATCACGGTCGTCCGTTTTCCGGGCACTACATAATTCCT